AAGATAAGGGTATAAAAGTAGTGTGAGACATGGTAAAAATCTCATTTGAAATCACATGAATTGTGAGATGTTAAAAAAATTGTGGGACAAACACTGCACTACACTACACTGCACTACACTGCACTACACTACATTAAACGACACTACACTACACTACACTACGCTACACTAGGCTACACTGCACTACACTACACTGCACTACACTGCACTGCACTGCGCTACACTACGCTACGCTACGCTACACTGCACTAAACAACACTACACTGCACTGCACTATGCGACACTACACTACACTGCACTACACTACACTACACTAGGCTACACTGCACTGCACTGCACTACACTACACTGCACTGCGCTGCACTACACTACGCTACACTGCACTAAACGACACTGCACTGCACTGCACTATGCGACACTACACTGCACTGCACTACATTAAACGACACTATACCCTACGCTGCACTGCACTGCACTACACTGCACTACACTACACTACACTACACTACACTACACTACACTAGAATTCAAATTGACCAATCCAGAAATGGTAATATCAATGAGTTAATAGTACAACATCCAATCAGCAAGCTCCTCTTTTTGAATAATGGGATGGTCACTTGAATATGCGCATGAGTTTTTGAGCCAATAACTATTCAGTATTTGAAATTGAATAAATGATCTTGATTTACAGTATTTCACAAATAAGTTTATTAACTAAACTACAACTTTCTTCCATTCACTGCATCAGTGGAAAATTAAAAAAACATGGTCAGTTTTATCCAAACGGCAATCATTTTGGTGAAGAGGCTGCCATGTATTATAGTTTCTTAAGGAGTATGAATAGATAAAGGGGGATGATTTCATGCATGGAAAACTCATTGATCAAGAAGATGACTAACACAAACAAGCTTTCAAGAAGGAGGACTCTTGAGAAATGTGACAAGCAAGCAATGCACACAAATTACTTTGAGATTGTTATAAAAACACCTCGAGGTATGCATCAATCAGATTCAGTAGTGATGGGCCTCTACTTGATGAATGAAACAAAGGTTGGATATATGTATGCATACACACAGTTCTTGACATGCTGACACATTTCCATTGCTGGTGGGCTCAATCCACATGATATTTCAACAAGTACTCGACATGAAACAAAACTGCTCAAGGACTTATGAGAATTTCATAGAAACCTAACAGTCAGGGGTATCATTTAAAGCAGCCACTCTGATCAACAGCATGGCACCTCAATAATAATAATACATTTACTATATTCATTTTATGATTCTTTTTTTTCAAATCCTTCAAAAAATGAATGAACTTTATATCTTTATTTTACATATTCCCATTCAGTGATCTGACCTATAAGCTTTCACTCATGACCTTTAGATACTCTGGCTTATGAACCTTGCGGCCGCCATGACAACATAGACCGAACACAATTGTTTAGTATGGCCTAAATCTTAAATCTGTTTGTTTTTTTGAAAAAGAAAGTGAAGATTTCATGATGAAAGAAGAGTGAGAAAAGTTGTTTCAATTTCAATTTTGGGTTGGGACAGAAAACACACATTTTGTTGATGGGAGATAATTAAAATATTTCTGCCTCGAGTGTTATGTCAAAATATTTATTTTTACAATTACAATAAACAATATTCCATATTTGTAGGGTACAGCAGTCAAAGCAATCTGATATCAGATATTGCATGTGAGATTATTATAAAATGAACCTATATAATAATTTCAAAATTCTTGAGTAAAACAGCGATACCACCTTTAATACTAAAAGTAACATGTTCATTATCGGATCTTTTAATATGAACATGCCGAATTGTGAAACTTTTTCATCGTTTCCTGCACTGCATCGTGGGAAAGAATTGGCAGGAAACATTTGCATCAAAGAATCGATCAGAGCAAACTAAAACACAATATATGATACTGATAGATGTAACCCGAATAGCATTTATGACCGATTATTATCTATGTATATTCACTCGCTCTTTTAGCAACACAAGCCGTATGACACCAAATGTGTTGACCCCGTCACATGACCATTGCAAAATCAAATAGATGGGCTGTGTTAGATATACTGAGAATACCATGCGCATACAGATTGCACTTTTCCCTACACATGTCGAAAACATCAAATTCCTTTCCTTAGCAACAGTCATTGTTATGGTACTGTGGCATAACAACGTCATCAAAACTGTTTAAAAATGAATGTTTTCATAACAATGATCAGGGATTAAAACCTGTTGAAATGAAACATTACACACTGATCTGAGTTGAATCCATTCATAAATGGGGTGCGAGGGTCATTTATTCAGGGAAGATCCCGACAAAAAAATCATTATAGGACACAGTATGTGGCATAATAATTAATCATGTGCTACTTGTTTTACGTATTTATTTACATACTCCTCCAAATTTAAATGGCCCGTCCCTTGAAAGACTCTCACCCCATTTAAATAGTTTCTACATCATTTCATGCTGGCGTCATTAATTTAAAAGTGCCCTCTCACAGCAAATAGGCAATTCCTCAAAAGTTCTGTAAAGCATGTACCATATGTCTTTAACAGGAATTCCTTATGACTACTGACTGTTTTGGTGGAAAATTTCTTTTTGCATCATCTCGGATTTTAGCGAAAGCAGATAAATATGAGAAGAAGAAAAAAGATTACCTGATTAATCATCGCAAAAGCAAAACATTAAATTGTTGAAACTGACTTTACGACACAAAAGAGATTGCGTGACACTTTTGCATCAGTGGATTCGTTTGCTACGAGTAAATGAGTGTGCGTGTGATGACATTTATTCGCAGATATATCCGAATACATAATTTTCAAAAAAGCAGCTCTGGCAATGTATGCTTATTCTTTTCTTTGTTTTATATGGTGCATAAATTGACGCACTTCAAAAAACAGGTTTACATAATGATTATATGCACTTGCCCAATGATAAGGTCATGAGTCAAAGGTTACAGGTGAAACAACATAATCACTAGCATGCATGGCCACAGTGACTAATTCAGATTCTAACATTCACAATCCTGTCTTTTGTCTATTTATTTTATGAACTGGTCATTCATATTTTGCATCCTGACTTCAATATATTGATATACATGTAGTATTAGAAGCGCATCACCTATAGAAATGCACATAACCTTTTTCACTACCAGTTTCCTCTTTTCATCACAAATTCACTTTCCTTCAGAAGATTGGAACAAAAATAGCCAGTTTTTGGATAAAAACTAAAAATTTTGTCTGTTGGCTCAAAAATTAGAGTTCATTTCCAGAAATATTGAAGAAAGTAAGAAAAAAGTGTAGAGAAATCGGGTGAGAAAGTCTGGCGGTGCAAAGGATAAACTGAAACTACATTTATTGTGGATTGGATTCGTTAAAATACCACAAGACACTGTCACTGACGTAAGCACGTTCACTACTAATATGATAACAAAATTAGCATAAAATTAGCATAAAATTAGCATAAAAACAACAATCAACAGACAGGGATATGCACAGACTGACAGACAGACATCTGATTTAAACCAAACAGGGAGACAAGCGAAAGTACTGTTAATTATTCCTGTGCAATGTTTTGATCAATAAGCGTTTAAGGATTCACGATGGTGGACCACAATCATTACCAAATTTGATGATGAGTAGTTTAGACAAATATTTTATGACAAAAAATATTTGTAAAAATTCTAATCCAAGAGAACATACATGTAGGAAAATAAGTGTCGTTCAATTTTTAGAACTGATTTTTTTAATCGAATGACCCACCTATGATAATAATTTACATATATTCAACGAGTAATTGTAAAACACACATGATTGCAATAAAAAGCAATATCGCTTACGAATGGAACAATTCAACCTCCTCGATTCATCCGCAGACTAGGTGTCCAGTCAAAACAGGTCTGTTTGTTTGTTCAATTTATCATTTTTTACTTTCTCCACTAAGTTTTAGATAGCACTTAAATGTGCGCGTAATTATAATCAGACAAACGTAGCAAGAGAAAATGTAAAATCTGACACACAATTTGTCATTCAGTGTCTATTTGTTAGAATGCCTTCAAGGGTTTTTTTTTTTTTTACGTTCAGTTTCCCGAATTGTGTCATGCACTCTCTAAATGAAGTGGTGATATAACTAGGGTATTGATGGATGTCTCAATATATTCCGATACCTTATCTAATTCACTTATCCGTTCATCTTTGATTCGTAGTATTTCCAACACTTTCCTGTCCTTGATCTCAGCTTTTTCCTTCTCCCTGAAAAAACAAAAACAAATACAAAATAACTATTAATTAAGTGATAGTGAAATGCTGAGGAAAACATAAAATATTACAGTATATTTAAAAAAAAAACTACTGTCATAATGTTGGCGGAAAAGGAGAGCAATCTTCTTTGATGTATCATTTTTGTGTAACTCAGGTCCCACGAGATCCAACGAGAAAGGAAACAATTTCCAGCAGTTATCCCCGCAATACCATGATTTACAGTCATAATATCAATACGCTTAGATCGTTGGGATTGCTAATTTATCTCCCTTTATCCTAAACTCAATTCCTTCGCATCTCTGAGTCTTCAGGGTCTTCCTGTTATGTGTGTTTCTTAAATTCCTGGAAAAGACTCAGCATTTCCCCGATGCCGTAGTCAATTACTGACGTGCTCTCGAAAGGTAGTCAACTGTGTTTTGATTTCTATGCGGCGGCATCCCCAAGGTGTAAAAATCTTGGATGTGAAATATGCCTACATCCATGTATCAAGCGATAGATAATACCCTCGCTTTCAACAAGTCAACGACAAATGGAAAAAAACTACAAAAGAGAATACTAAGTGATCCACCTGGATAAAAATTTCATTAGAGTCTGGCTTGGTACAAAACTAATGTGATACAAGAGTCTCAGCTTGTTATAATGAGTAACTGTGTTTTCACGTAATAGTGTTGAATTATTTCCCAAGAATGTAGTTTTAGAGCTTTCTCCATCGAGGGTACACTATGTAGACAAGGAAGACGAGCATGTTTTTCCATGATCAACTTCCTCTCATTTACTGCTTACTGACTTCAGCTGAATTTTTGGTTTAAAAGCGTAATAATTGATTAAGATCTTTCAGTGAAACACATATTTTATTTTACATCTATTCAATCAAAAAATGTGATTATTATTCAAATATGCAGATTAGATTCAAGATGTTTCAGTTCTCATTAAACACTGTAACCATGACTACCAACAAGTAAAAAAACACACTTGTGATCTAATTGAAGGTTGAACAATTATACCCACAATGCATTGCAAAGCGACTAAATTTGTTTTCAAGTTTACTAATTTAGTCAAAAGTCATGAATAAATTAAATTATTATAATTCTGTTTTATTTCATCCTCATAAAATATCTAAAATTGTAAAAGCCAATAATTTCTACTTAGACAAACATTCAAGAAGAAAATTGAATGTACATTCCATGGGAGAAAAGTATGAAAAACAATTCATATGTCATGACATATCCCCCGTTGGTTCAGTAGTAAACAAAACTGAAATAAGCCAGACTTTGAATCAGAACTTGAAACAAATGACTTTTAATATATGTGACAGAACATATACTACATTATAATTGTTATTGATTTTGAATACGATTTGAAAAGTTTGAATGATACAGTTGCTATCCATGTATGACTGAGATTTGGGTGTGGAACGGCAGAAATGGATGCCATGCAGCCATTTTGAATCTGATCAACTTTTAGGAAGTCCCAAATCATAACATATGAGCAACCTGTGTATAAAGACCACCTGCCTATAGTGACCACTTTCACACAGTACCAAGGCATAATGTGCGAGAAACCATTGTATAAAGACCACCTGCCTATAATGACCACTTTTAGGCAGTCCCAAAGCATTACATATGATG